CGAGGCGCTTCTTGCGGCTCCCTGCCCCGCTCAGAAGCCGAGTGCCGAGTGCCCGCGGGCTGCCCAAATGCCACTTGCTTCGTGGTTTGTAGAAGAGAGAATAAAATAGCACGTCCGTAATGGAGCTATTTGTGTGCAACCCTGACTGTCTGCTGCAGAGGCAGAGCACCCCGAGGGAGAGGGAAAGCTGGGGAGGGGGTGTGGGAAGGCAGGACCCACGTGGCTACAGGTTTGCTGAGTGCTAAGCAAAAACTGAGGATTTTCCAATATTTCTTTTAAAAATCTTTATCTGTATAGTTTTGCAACGCATAAACTGCACCTGACTTCAAACTATCAAAGACGCCCAAATTCTCAAGCGCGATTTTTCCTCCACTTCTTCTGCAGAACCTTCCACAGCTTCAAAATTGAAACGTCTCAGCCCAAATGCAGCCCAGATGCAAACAGTACCTTTGGTTTGTATGGTCAGATTACATGCTACACACTGTGCTTTGGCCCGAAAAAAAAAGCAAGCTCAGGGTTGTTTGTTTTCTGAAGGTGCCAAAGTGCTTTGGAGCCTGTGACTTGGCAGGAGGATGTTTCCTCCTCTATTGAGGTAAGTAAATATATTTGCATGAGACAACGGATCTGCTTTACCAGAAACCTTAAGGGTGAAGACAGTGGCTTGGTTAAAGAAACTGTTCGTTTGCCCTAGACCAACTTTTCTTCCCCGAGATGCACAAGCAGTTGCAGGTCCCTGTGGCCGGTTTCTGCCAGGACCTCCTCCACCCACGGCCATGCCACCTTCCTCCTGCGCACCCTCTGCGAGCCCAGGCCCTTTAAAACACATCTCCGTGCAACCTGCAGGATTGAGGCAAGCCGAGCAGGGAAGGGGACAGGCTGGCACCCAAAGGAGAGGTGCATGGGAGAGCGGGAGCTATAGGAAAGCAAACACACCTGCGCCTGTTGTGGCCAAGCAACCGCAACCATGTCCAAGAACAAAAAAGTAACGCCAACAGCGGCCAGAGAAGCAGCACTGGTGGAAGGACACAGCTTGCAAGGGGATCAGCGTGTGTTCCCACCTAGGAGAGGTGGTGGCCGTTGTCTCAGCTCAAGGTCCCCAGCAGATCACCCTGTGATCACAAGCTCAGGAGCCAGGTCAGTCCTTGCAGCGAGGGGCTCTCCTGCCCAGGACGACGGGAGACACGGTCACAACTCAAGGATGACGTTGCAATGCCAATAAAGGGGAGGGGGCTGGCTGGACCCTTGCGTTCTCAGTTAGACTCAGACCCCATAAGGCTCTCCAGTGTCTTTGTGCCAGTTGTAGGCACCTGTCTTGAAACTAAGGAATCACAGCTGCTCGAGCTCTCCGGGTCCAAGCACAAAGCTGTCTCAAAGGTAGCCTCCTCCCTTCCACAGACCTGACCCCACGCAGCCACCAGGCTCCTTCCTGAAGGAGGCAGAGGTGCCCTGGACCATGCGCGGGAGCCCACCCTTGGGGTGGCTGTTGTGCAGTGGCAATGTGTAATCAGGAGGTAATTAACATTCCTCAAAGTGAGAGCAGGGCTGGGACATTGGGCATTGGCTTCCCTGCTCTCATGTGGGGTGGTGCTCACCTGCCAGAGTTTTTTTGGATGCTACTCCTTTAAGGCACAAAGGTGGAAATACGGAGCTAGAGGTACGAGGAGTATTTAAAACTGCCTGGCGCTGCCAGAGCCCCTGTCTGCTGCAGCAGGGAGGCAGGACACCCGCAGGAGGTCCTGGGGTCGGTCACCGAGACACCAGCAAAACTAGGAGCAGTCAGTCCGAAAGAACAAAGCAAGAAGTACAAAATAGTCTGCAGAAGTAACTTGGAGTGTAAGTAATGCTTCTTCGTTATCTTTCTGAGATACAAACAAACTCTTTTGTACTACCGCTCTGAGACGGGGAAGGAGAGGAATACAAGCCTTGAGACGCTTTTGAGGGCTCTTCCTCGCACATGTGTGAAGGGAAGCAGCAGTTCTGAAGCAACAGTGAATAGGTCTTGCCGGTGGGGAGGGTGATTTCTTTTGAGAGAAGGTCAGAAGCAGAGGATGAGGCTTATGATGTTTCTGTTTTCTTCTCTGGTGAAGATTTTAAATGAATTTAATTAAAAGATAATTATCATCACAATATTTGCATTAAGATTTAAGATAGAAAATAACAAACGTTAATAAGTATTACTGCAGTAATCTGGACTGTTGCAACTTAGTCTATGGTCATTACAGTCTTTTGAATCACAACACTGAGATAATCATCAGGATGCAGATTTTGAAATTTAAGAGAATTGGTGAAGTTATGTCCTAAACAAGCTCTGAAGAACTTCCGAGTTTATACAGTTAAAAGGAAGAGAAATAGATACTGAAGCGTAAGAGAACGGGATGTATGTGGTGTCCTAAAACTGAACTAAGAGAAAGCTGGCAGACTCCTTTCACATTTAGACCTACAGAAAAGGGGTGGGCTTCTACACACCTGAATTCTTATTCTGCAAAGGAAACATTCATGTAGGACTTCTAATACATTTCATCTGAAGTACAGAGAAACAGCACTTCCTGAAAGCAACTGTGCTGCTGTTAACGACAGGTTCACTGGCACTATCATCCATCCAGCAACTGTCACTGTACAGACTGTGGCTGCACAGTAAGTGCTGTTGGATCACAGTAAGTTCCTGTGCCTTGCAATAAGAGTAGTATTAAACTAGAATAGCAGCTTAATAGCGTGGAAGGTGGTTTCACTTTCCAGTGCATGAGACAAGAAACAAAAAGTGAGCGTGTCATGATTCATTTATTTCTTATCTGAAAAGCAACAAGTTGGTGTGTGGGGTATCTAACACCTTAAAGGAACCTTAAAGTATCTAACCTTAAAGTGAGGTCACAAGTTAGTGTCTGGTATACCTAACACCTTAAAGGAACATAAAATTAGGCCAGCAGCACAATCTCAGCAGAAATTTCAGTTGCTGCCATGAGGGCTGCGTGATTTTTTTTTTTTTTCCAGAATGTATTGCTCATATAGGACAGTGTTTAACCGGCACTTACAAACATTCTTAGCTAAAGAGGGTCACAAGTACTACAGAAATTCCTAAAAGCTGCTGATTTCTTAGCAAATCCTGATAATCTTCAGTAAGGTCTGCCTAGCTGTTTGTGCTTACTGCATCACAAAATTAGCACCTCCTGTTTATTCTTTCCATATTGTAAAGGAGTCATTGGTTTGGAACACGGAATATTTCTTCTCTGTATGTGTTTAGGTCAGCTTGATCTTCTATCGTAAAGTTGATTGCTTATTGGTAACTCCATGAAAATGGAGTGGATTGATGCTTTCCCCCACACACACACTACAGCAAATAAAACTCACAATAAGGCCATCTATGCAGCGATCTTGATGGGAAGTGTAAAGATGCAGATAACCCCAGTCCTGTGCAGCAAGAAGTTTGTTGCTGTGCCCTTCTTCTCGGCACAGAAGTCTTCAGCACCTCCATAAATCACCCCTAGCACGTGCCAGTGCTCCTCCTCACAGTGTAACCCCTGCTGATGCTGCTCAGCCCTGCCTGCCTCTACAGCTTCCCCA